TTCATCCGACTCGCCGAGTTCGACCTTGAACTCGTCGTGTTCATCTCCCTCATAAGAATGTGTCCAGTCTATGACTCGCCGAGTTGTATGAACAACTCGTCGAGTCCATCTTCAAAGATTGGAAGATTGCCTTGGACTCGCCGAGTCTGGTCAAACACTCGTCGAGGCCCATGATTCCCAGGTCTATAATCTCGTCCATCTTTGTTAAGTCCTTCTCTAGACTCAACCAGACCCCCAAAACAACAAGGGTTGGATAACCACTACCCGACTCGTCGAGTCCCAAGAACAACTCGCCGAGTCCACTAAAGTCCATGTCCATAAACTCGATTTCTGTCAAGCTCATCTCATCCAAAGGGTAGATCTGGCCTCCTAGGGCCGATATACTCGTCGAGGCCCACGATTCCCAGGTCTATAATCTCGTCCATCTTTGTTAAGTCCTTCTCTAGACTCAACCAGACCCCCAAAACAGCAAGGGTTGGATAAACCACTCCCGACTCGTCGAGTCCAAGAACAAACTCGCCGAGTCCACTAAAGTCCATGTCCATAAACTCGATTTCTGTCAAGCTCATCTCATCCAAGGGGATCTGACCTCCTAGGGCGATATAGCACGTAAAGCCACGAACTTTAGTCAATGCATGGGTCTTTTAGCCCTACATGACTACAAATGATGTCTAAAAGATGCACGGGGCTCTCATAGCCATTTAAATTGGCACCTTTATGCATGAGACCCCTCCATGACTAAATATGAAGTCAATACTCCTATAACACTTCACAACTCGAAAATGGCTTAGGAAAGCCCTAAATATACCCCAAAATCCAGCCCTAAAGATGAATAAACAATGGAAGATTCATGGAAGGAGCTTTTTACCTTAAATGAGCTGGAATGGGAACACAATCTCTGGATCTCCAAGCTCCAACTTGAACTCCCAAGCTCCATTCCCCTTCTCAAGCTTCACAATCCACCAAAATGGCCTTAGAATACTCAAACAAGGCTAGGGTTTCGATATGATGTCTTATGGAGTATAAGGGCGATGGAGGTTGAGATAAGTGTTTAAATAGGGTGCAAACCCTCAAATTTAGGGTTTCACTCAAACAACACCTACTCGCCGAGTCGGTCTCTCGACTCGTCGAGTAGGTCACTTAAACTCCCCGCGGATCACGACTCTACTCGACGAGTTGGGCCACCAACGCATCGAGTCCCAGAGAAAAAATACATGAAATTCTTGAATTAAATACGTACCAGGAATCAGGTGTTACAATACTGGCGAGGAAGATGAAAGTTCTGCGGAACATGGAGATACCTTTGGTAAAAGTACAGTGGGAGCATCGGAGGGGATCCGAGTAGACGTGGGGCCAGAGGCAGAAATGCGGTAGCACTATCCGGAGTTGTTCACCGTGTCAGACTTTGAGGACGAAGTCTAATTCAAGTGGGGGAGAATTGTAACGCCCCGATTCTCAGGTATTTGATTTGGGCATAAGTTTTTCTTGATTTCAAGGCCTACTCGACGAGTTGGTTGCTCGACTCTTCGAGTAGCAGCGGGTTGGTCCACGTGTTTAAGTGACCTAATCGACGAGTCCATGAGGGGGACTCGACGAGTAGGAGCGAGAGGATGAAACCCTAATTTCCGGGGTTTTGCACCCTATTTAAAGGATCATTGGCCTCCCCAGCCTCCCCTTTACAGCCCATTAACGTTCCAAAGCCCTAATTCGTGTGTGTATGCTACATTTGGTGTGTTTAAGCTTTGAAGAAGGATTTTGGTGAGAAAAGCTTGGGAAATAAGTGATTAGAAGCAAGGAACTCGTGGGAATCAGAGATCTACTTCAGTTGGCACCCTTTTGAAGGTATTAAGTTGTTACCTTGGCTCTTTTCTTTCTAGATCTCTTTTGGGTGGTTTTAAGAAGCCTTTCTTGTGTTTGAGCTAAGATCTGAAGTTGCAACTTCAAATCTGAGTTCTCTTTGGTCTCTAGGTCCATAATGTTGTCAAGGTTGGCAAGTATGAACCTCCCCTCAAGTGTAAGACTTCTTTAAAAGCTTGGTTTTGTCATTTTAAGACTTTAGAGCTTTGCATGCACGTAAAGTTTGCAACTTTATGTGATAAACATGCCTTAGGAAGCTGGATCTATAATATGGAACCTTAGCATGGCGTAAAAAGCATCTTTATGGATGAAGGACTGAAGGGACTCGGTGAGTTGCATGGTCAACTCGGTGAGTCCGATGAAGATTGTCGTGGGCTCGGCGAGTCAGATGAGTGACTCGGCGAGTTGGCTAGGGTTTTCCCAACCTTTGGACATGTATGAAATTGGCGAGTTGCAAGGGGAAACTCGACGAGTCGGCCAAGGAGTTTACGGCCGCAAACCTTAGGAACTCGACGAGTCACTCTAGTGACTCGGCGAGTTGACGAGTTATGCAGGAACTCGGCGAGTGGCTGGTTGTACTCGACGAGTTCAGGTCAACATGGACTGTTGACTTTGACAGTTGACTTTGACTTTGACCAAGGGTTGACTATTGGACTTCTGGGGCATTTTGGGAATTTATGAACATGGTTGTGTGGCGAATATAGGTGGTGGAGTTTGAGGCGGTGATCCGAGAGTTGAGTTTATCCTTCGAGTCGACAGTTGCGAGGTGGGTTATCCTCACTATACCAAGGGGTCTAAGGCACCAATGCCGGCCCATTGGATATCATTTCCTAGCAGTTGGTAGTATGTTGAGTATGAGTTAGTGTTGCATGTTAGTTGTTATGTCAGTTAGGTAGATCTGTAGGACTACCTATAGTATCATGTGATTATCAGTATGTGCATTAGTTGTGTTATACGTCGACATATTATGTGAGATGGGTTGAGGTGATACTACTCCGTGCGGTAACCAACAAACCCGGGAGCATTCCAGATACGAGCTGAGGGAGACTCGTATGGTGGGCTCGGTGGCAATCCAGACTCACACTATAGGCCCAGGGGTAATCCAGTCTGTAAAGCTGTGGACCCAGTGTATGATGTTATTTGTATATGTGTTATGTGCAGTGTACCAGTATTTTGGGGGAACTTACTAAGCTTTCGGGCTTACAGTTTTAGTTTATTGTTTCAGGTACATCAGGGGATCGCGGCAAGGTGAAGGCATGATCGTACAGCTCCTCATGTTTTGTTTATGTTCCTGGGAAAACTCTGATATAGACTATTTGAAAACAAATCTGTAATAACTATTGGTTTTAAATGTTTTGAAAAATTTTAAATTGACTTGAATTTTATGGGTGTTACACGCACTAAATTAGGAAACCATATATATCGGTCCACATATAATGTTTTATTTTTTTTTTCAAACTTTTTAAAACTAAATTCTCCATTGTTTTACATTTGTATTAAAAAACCATATAATATTGGAAATTGTAATAAGATATCATTATATTACAGATTTACAAGTTATACATGTATATAAACCGGTGGCGGATGTCCTTGTTTATTAAGCTACAAGGATCGAAATTGTAATTATTAAAATTGAAAACTACATGGACTAAATATATATTTATTGAAATTAATATTGCAGGGGTTAAAACTATAATTAATACAAATTAAAACTATAAAGACTAAAAATATAAGTATCTTAAATTAACAACTATAAGGACCATATTGCAAATTATAAACTATAAAGACTAAAACTATAATTATTAAAATTAAAAATAAAAACAAAAATACAGTTATTGAAATTTAAAACTATAAGGACTACAACTGTAATTAATACATATTTAAAATTATAATGTTAAAAATATAATTATGTTGAATTAAAAACAAGGACTAAGTATATAATTATTTTATTAATCAAGGGGCTGTTTCTGTAAATATGAGTAATGTGGCGCATTATAGCAATCATCCCCGCCAAATTGGCGACAAATGTATAGTGAATTAGTGATACTAATACATAGATTGAGACATATATCGAGATTCATACACATTTACATGCTATGGTCCTTCTGGTCCCCAATGCACTTCATGCACCATTAATTATATCAGTGACTATTTTTATTTTTAAACAAGACTAAAACTAAATCAGTAATTATTTTTATTTTTATGTGTCAACCTAACATGATAATAGAACTAATATCTTGTTATTTTGTCTCCTTAAGCCATTTTATTAATAAACCGTGTATTTTTCGCTTCACAAATAATTATTTTAACTAAGTTGAATTTGGCCTTTCTTCACAAATTCTTAGTTTTCTACCTGTAGATAGATATACATGCATTAGGTATTTATTATCAATTTTGAATCAATGATAAATAGTTGTAAACAAGTTTCAAATTTTCTTAGAGGAATGAAATGACCAAATGGTCCTTCAAAGCCAAGAAAAAGGTCTGGAAAGTTCAGAATATGATGTACAGCATTGCGTAATATGTATAAATTCCTTGCGCATGACGAAAATCAAGAGGCTGAAGCACCTGGTTTTCATTTTCTACCACTTGTATTTTCTTTAAGACAAAAATACAAACTATTTGTATTTTTAACCAAATTTTCTTCAATTCTTTTTAAATTAATTATAAATAATTAGTATGTAAAATCCGATCATAAATATAAGCTAATTTTTTTAAATAAAATAATGAGGAGGTTGCAAATAATAATAAAATATTTTGGCTGAATTTAAATATGTTTAACTTGTTCAATCTATTTGAAAGTGTTTTCTTTTTTAACTGATTTGTTATTCACCAATCTTACTTCTAAAGGAATATATATATATTATATATATTCTATATCTATCTATATATATATATATATATATATATATAATAATTGTTAGAGATGTACCCTCGTCGAAAATTTTAAATCCGCCACTAAATCCATAGGTATCACTAAATCAAAGTCAACCAATTTAACCCTATGACTACAAAATAATGTTATAAATAACAAAATTTACAAACCCAAATCTGTTGGCTGAATTTCAACTTTATGTAGTCAAACCCAATGACTCTCTCTATGTATAAATACATGGCAATATGTTATTTGCTCTCACATATCTAAATTTCTTGTGAGTCGATCAATAAATTCTACACATATTTTCTTAAAAGTTGTCGAGTTTGAAGAGTAGCAAAAGTTCTTCAAAAATGCCACGATGGGTGAGACCAGAGGTAATATGATCAGATTAGTATGTTCTAGATAAATTTATAAATAATATTATGGCTGATTTAGTAATAAAAAGTGAATATTTTTATCTTTTTAACCATATTTGACATGACATATTGACATAGGTTTATCCTTTGATGGCTGCGATGACGTTTGTGACAGGCATGTGTGTTTTTCAACTTACTAGAAATGTTGTCATGAACCCTGATGTGAGGTATTGTTTTTTTATATGTTTTTTAACATCAAAATTAGATAAAGAAAAGAACATCTGTATCATTATTTGATTCATAAGACTAAAGGTCACTGGTGACTTGTAGCATTTTATAAGTAACTGATAATAACCACATGAACAAAGTTTTGTACTTCGAACCTTTTGGGATTAATTGTGGTATGATGGTATAGGGTGAATAAGGCTCATCGTACGACAGCTGTGCTTGAAAATCAAGACGAGGGTAAAAAATATGCTGAACATGGTCTACGAAGGTTTTTACGTACAAGGCCACCGGAGGTCATGCCAAGTGTTAACTCATTCTTCTCTGATACCAAATAGACATCGATTCAACTTCCTTCAGAGCGAAATATTGTTGTGGATTATTTTGTCACTATTGATTTGTATTTTTATTGCTATATGTGTGTATTTCCATTATGAGTCATGAGATTTAGCCTTGTATGAATGCGTGATGATGTTGTGTTGTATAAACTTGATGATTTAATACTTAATTGATTATTAAACTTGATTGAAGGAGACGGGCAACATCCCACAATCAGTACGCTCCATCATTATCCAAGTATCGGGCTTTATCCGATTAGCGTTAATGCAAAGGTACACATCCGATAAGCAGTCCAAACATCGCAATTATACCGGTTTCTAGTTTACCAAATCCTAAAATCATATCATTTTAGCAATTTTCCACATAATAATGCAATCGCTTCTAAGGGAGGAAGGAGTCCAGGCGGGTTGAAATTTTGGTAAGGGAGGTACCGCCGACATATAGTTACTAGCAAGCAATGAGTTGAGCGGCTTCTTACATTTACTCCACTTAGAGGGTTTACCAACCCGTCCATTTTGTTTCAATTGCATATTGAATCGAGGAGTAAACATAAAATATTCATTCTTACTTTTTTTTTGTTTTGATGCATGTGGCTTGATAGCCTCCGGTATTTACTTTTTTTTTTTTTTTTTTATTTTTTTTTTTTTTTTTATTTTTTTTGGTTCTAATATAAATTTGTACAATGAAAATGAATATATTGACATTTCTAATTTAATTAGATAATGTTATCTTTTATTTTATTGGTTTTGATTTTGATGCATGTGATGATAAAAAATGTTATGTTTTATTATATTATATATTTTTTAATTTAATTAAATCAAAAAATGATATGGCAAATGAGTTGAGTGGTTTGGAAAAGATAGGGTTTCTATGTGTTGTGGGTTGGAAAGGTTGGAAGAGAGTGGAGATAAAAAAACTGATGTGATGCTGATGTAGCAGTGGGTTGAATGAGTTGGAAGGGAATGACTCCCTCTTTCTTAAGAGTTGTTCCACTTTACGCAGTTGAAGAGAATCTTGGATGAGAGAGATCAATTGCAGGTTTCCGAAATGCTTGAAAGACAAACTTTCTTTAATCACTCACTTTGCCATCTTTTTCTGAACCACAATTTGCTCAAAATGCTAAATGTTACTATCATTCGTCATTGTTGTTTGATCTCTATTCGGATCAAATTTCACAGCGTCGTAATACAAATTGGTATGGTTTTTCGAAGTCTTATTTCCTTCATCCTTAAAAAAAAATAAACCACATTAATTTCTTGCATCAATTTTTTTGACCACTATGCATATCACACGGATTGTAATATTGTCGAATCGTCGAGTTTCTTTTTGTATTGCTAAATGCAACAAACGCCATGTTGTCTGGCGAAGCCCCAATACCAATGAAATATTATGATTGACCACATTCGGTTCCCATTACTTGCAACAAAAGATTGGAGTGTTTTTTAGTTTTTAGAGATTTGTGAGAGTTTTTGAGTTGTGTAATTAAACTAACACATCCATTACCTATATATAATATCAAACGAGGGGCAAAAATGCCATTTATATATAAAAAAAAAAGCCATATGGTTGGTTGGGGCATAAAAAAACTGCTAGTTTTTCTAAATCGGTTCAACAAGCAAAATCTCAAACCTATAAGAACCATCCAGAACTCTTCAAACCAGAGCAATTAGGTTCAAATCAGTTTCAACAGTGTACCAGTTTGGATTTGAAACACGTTTTGGATCTTGAATCGGTTTTTTGGTGCACCTCTACTCTACTAGAGGTGCACATATACTGGTTTCAATTTTGGAAAAAAAATGGTAATCTCTAGACAGTTGTGGTTATAATAGGTTCGTTTTTTTAGAAGTGAAATTGCATTAAAAATCGATTTTCTCGGTTAAAAAAACCGAATGATTCGGTTTTTTAGAGAAAGGGGAAAGAAACCGTTTCAGTTGAATAAAAAAATCTACACTAAACCACTTTGTGCACCTCCAAGGCTCCAACCTCTGCTCCCACCGTCTTCATCTTTAAAGGGCCACAAGGTCAATACCATTTCCTCAAAATCTTCCGTAACAAACAGTTATTAGCTACTTAGCTAGCATATAAGCCCAACCAAGTAACCATAATTAAAAGGGCCAAAAGATTTCGGCCAAGCCTAATCATAAACTAGGACAAAGAATAAAATGTATAACAGTTAGACACGAAGGTTATTATAAAATATTGATTTGATTAAAAATATTGATTTGATTAAAAGAATCGTCCTTGTGTAAGCGTCAAAAGGTATCTTTGTCTTTATTTTAAAAAATTAACTGGGGTCGTACCTCGTTTAGTTAAAAGTTGCACATGTCATCCATCGTTAGTTTAAATTTGTACGTTTCATCTCTTGTGAGATATGAAATGACAATTCTATCATGTTTATTCTTTTTTGATTTATTTTTTATTACAATTACTATAATATACAAAAAAAATCCCCACCCCACCCACCTTATCCTAACCCATTCTCTTCTTATTCTTTGACAAAAAATATCACCGCCATACACAACCGTCGACTATCGGAAGAAAAAAATACGAAACAGCCAAACATCTCATGTACCGTCAACCACACTTATACCATCCTACGGTTAACCGTGAGCCACCGATCACCATCATCACTACTTTCCATCATGACCACCTTATACCACTATTTTTAATTTCCTCTACCTTGTCGAAAATCAACAACCTCCACACCTACCTGCTGTAGCATCGTAAACCACCAACGATCGCAACCTTACACTAGTCACCTATTATCTTCACCATGAGCCACTTATAAAAGCCGAACCACCAACTACAACACCCAAAATAGTCACCATTTGAACCTGTTCGTCATCTTCATCACTCGAACACAACTCTTGCCCCGTCGACTACCTTCGACCACTGAGAACACTGTTCGTCACTAGCTTTGTCGAGTAGCATCACTGCCGCCGCCTAGGGTTTCATATCAAAGATCGTCGTCGCCTAGGGTTTCGAACCACCACTTGTGATCTCCCTTCCAAAGACGTCTAAAGCCGTCAATCTTCGTCTCCACCTGTACGCCGCCATTGATCTCCGTCGACTAAGGTTTCGAGATCGATGAAACCGAAAGATGTTCAGATGGTTCTCCGCCTCCATCGTCACCTATATGATGTTATCGCCCTGTTCGTTGATCTAGGATTTGTTGTCGGAGGTGAAAAAGGGGTGTCGATGGTGGATGCAGTGGTTGTTGGAGCTGAGAAAGAGGGCAGGGGAGATGGATAGGAAGAGGACAGTATGGTTTCTTTTTAGGCTTTAGATCAATGGAAATGAAGACGGTTCCCAACAGAGAGTATTTCTGGTGGAGGTAGTTTGTGGCATTCAGTGGAGTAGCTAAGATGTATAGGTGGTGGTGCTTAGGGTTATAGATTAGAGAACTAGTTGTGAGACCCATGTATTACATGAGTTAATTTTTAAAAAATTAAAAGGTAAGTTCATTAATGATTTTAATATCCATTTATTACTACATTTATTGCAATTATTCCATTAAAATATTATGTGGAATTTAAAAAAACAGAAAAATTTATAAAATGACATGTGGAAAAAAAATTCAAAATAACCACAAAATGACATTTGACAATTTAAATAAGAGTGTGACAAGTGACAAAAAAAACCTTTATTTATTAAAGTAGATACGGAAATGTTAAATGACATGTATTCTTTCAAAGGGGTAATTTGGAACAAACAAATTTAATTAAATATTTCTTAAAAAATTAAAAAAAAATCAAAAACTTGAATATATATATATATATATATATATATATATATATATATATATATATATATATATATATATATATAGTCAATTATGTAGACTAAACTGTAAAACTGGTCCTTATGGTTTCGTAACAACTGTGGATAGAGTCCAAAAATTTTCCGACTTACATGACAATTTTCCACAAATTTAATTTAATATTTCTTAAAAAATAAAATAAAAAAATCAGAAACTTGAAAATAAATGAATATATATATATATATATATATATATATATATATATATCTATATATATATATATATCTATATATATATATATATATATATAGAGGTAGGTTCAAATGTTTCTCACATCTATTGTATGCTAGAATGTACCAATAAGAATTTAGTAAAAATTATATCTATATTAAATGATATCCATACTTATAATTAATTTTTATGGAAACTAATTAAATTAATCATTAATGTCAACAATAATATTCTTTCAGAATTAATTCGTATCTAGAAGAATGAGATTGTATTCTAGCAGAATGAATAGAATACACTCTCGTTTTTCATATTCCATGCAACTTTATTGTATTTTAAGTGAGTGAGTACTTAAACAAAAAACGAATTCATACATAAAAACCTAGGTATGAATTCATTATGACAAATTTAATTAGTTTCTATAAAAAGAGAATTATAATTATTGATATCATTTAATATACATACAATTACGGATATCATTTAATATCTATCTTTATTTAATTAAATAATTATTTAATTTTACTAAATTCCTATTGGTGCATTCTAGCACACATAAATGTAAGAAACAAATTAACCTAACCCTATATATATATATATATATATATATATATATATATATATATATATATATATATATATATATATATATATATATATATATATATATATATATATATATAAAGGGCAATATAGTTATTTTATCTAGACTAAACTGCAAAATTGGTCATTGTGGTTTCGCAAAAAGTGTGGATAGGGTCCAAAAAGTTTCTGACTTGAATGGAAAGTCTAAAATCAAAAATTTCACGTGGTTTTGGTCCTTAAAAAGTTGAAAGGACTATTTTTCCATTTTTATTTCATATTTGTAAATTTTCATATTATTTTTAATACTTTATTAATTATAAATAAAAACACAAAAAAATTGGGACCACCCACCCCACCCCACTGATGCCATCTTCTCTCTCAATCAGTATTCATAAGCACTCAACCAAAAAAACACCACCCATCTTCTTCAAGATCCTTCACCTATAGGATATTTCCGCTCAATTTCGCTAAAGATTTTGCGGATTTAACAACATCACTAGATTCATGCAAGCTATTGATACCCTGATTATGTAAAGCAACTAGTCAGCCCCAATTCAAGG